ATTAAGATGGGTGTCGTTTCTATGCACAGGACTATGCCTGCCTAGGTGTGACAGGATGGCAGTGAGGAACCACATCTTAAAAGCAGCAAGATCAAAGGAAAATTTAGTATTAATCAATGCACTGCAGATTAAAACCTTTCCAGATTAAAATGATTAATTAAAAAGAAAAAAATAATTTGACTACTGTTAAACAGCTCTATAGCCTTAAAACAGCAAAGTACTTAAGCACATGAGCAATCCCATGAGACTATTCATGTGCTTAAAATTAAGCATGTGCTTAAGTACCTTACTGAACTGAAACCTATGTGCCTGAGGTTTCCCGGTGTGTATTGTACCATACAAGAGATATGCAGGTCATATCTATATATTTAGATATATGCTGGACATATCTAAACTTCTGTGCTTAGACTTTATGCTGGACTAATTATATTCATATGCTTGGACTTTATGCTGGACATATATTTGTACTTAGACTATGCAGGACATCTGTATTTTTGCCTCAGAAAAGTAAGCAATATGCAAAGGACTTTGTAGAAACTGCAGGGTACAACCCTGCCGAATTTACTTAGGCAGAACCCTCACTGAAGTCAATGGGTACTTTGGCTGCGCGTGGACTGCACCACTGGGACCACAGACTGTTATTAGAGACCATTAGATTAGATTTACTGTTTTGGAGAAATACTTCTGTAAGATTTAAAGCAGCTCTGCCTGCTAGTCTGTCTTCTCTCCAAGTGTAACTTGTCTTTGTCGGGTCACTGTACACAAGATATAGCTCTCATTCTGGCAATGAGATTCAAAAGCCAATTTAGGTTTACATTGGCACAAGAACTAAGAGCATAGCTACACTAGAGGTTTTTCCTGTTGAGTTAATGGATTGTCAGGTGTCTTGAGGTAACCATGAGTTCATAAAGGCTGGCGTCTCCTGGAACAAATGTTTGTGAAATGTCCACTTTAGCCTTTACAAACATGTTAGCTACCTTGAGTTATAAGGTTAAAAAAAAAAAATAGTGTAGACAAGACCCATGTTAAAGATCTCCTCTCTGAAACTCAGAGTTCATCCGCAATGGGGGCTTTACAGGTAGCTGTCCATTCCTATGGAGAGGGTTTAATTGCCTGAGATAGCGGAGTGTGTGTGGACTTCTCTTATTTGAGGTTACATAGTGTAACTCTTAAACTTTTATTTTTAAAGCAGCACTTTCAACTTAAATATCACATATACTAGTCAAAGTGTTTAACTCTACTGTTAAAAACAACATCTAAACATTACCATAACTGAAGAATCAGAGACACAAAAATATTTCTGTTTATTCAGGGGTTTGTTTCCTTTGTGTATTTGACAGCTGTGAGTGTTGACCATTTCACTGATTCTTCCATCAGTCATTTCCCCTTGTTGCTTGTGTGGCTTTTTCCACCCAGCAACATGAAAAGGAGGACATTTATTTTAAAAAAAATGGAAATTTTGAATGCAAAACCACAATTGGTCAGGGGATTCTAGCAGCTGAAACGTCTTAACTCTTTTTTTTTTGGGGGGGGGGGGGGGGGAAACTGACCACATTTCCATATGACAGTATCCCTTTAACTATGACATTGCCTGTGCATTTTGCTGGATTATTGGATCAGAAAGA